ATGGCAGTCAGAAATTTAGTCAGAAATGTGGGTATCAACAAAAGATAGAGACAGAGATAGGAATAGGGAAGCAAATGCCCTCACTGCGGTTCCCAGGTGGAATGGTGCGCAGACAAGAGGTACATTAAAACAGCGTTGACTAATCGTTAGTGCGTAGTGTAGATGCCGTCTGATATATGTGCAGTTGGGCTTGCAGAGCTGATGGTGGTGGCACAGCGTGTGAATGAGACGGGCCGTTAGCTGCAGTCATTGCAAGCCCTCGCCGCTTAAGGCTGAACCGATCCGATCGTCTCCTGTCCGAGGTATATGGGAAATTCCGAGGAACGTTTTTCACTCTGACTTAAGTGTTGGGAGGCGGTTATATCACACATTCTCTGACGGCATCATTGGCGCGACCACAGCCATAACAGATCGAGTAAATCCCGCTGCTCCCTGTCCAACATTCAGCTTTCAAAAAGGTGTTCAAACTTTGTGGTGGATAAGCGGTGTGGTAATCGAACTGAGCAACACTGACATCGACGTTTCAAGGCAAATTGAGGTCACTATGGAACAATGGAACAATTGTATATTACGGGCAAAAAAGCGATGCTTAGCAAGCGCTGTAGGATGACGAAAAAGAGAACCACAACTTGGCGAATAGAAAATAAAGGGCCAGAAATAAGCTGTTTTTGTGGACTTACTACAGTGTTAATACAGAGGCGCGCAAAAGTGCCGCCCGCAGTTTCGTAGGTTAATTCTGGTTGTGCAACTTTCATCGCATTATATCGTCTGTTGAAACACACAGGCTTGATGTTGTAGTGAAAGTGGGTTAAGGCAACGTCAATGCGTTTTTAAACACAGGTAAAGTGAGGGCGGAAACAACGTAATTTGGGAGGGCGTTCCATGGTTGGCACACACGAAGAGAGTAAGAGTTCCGTCGCCATCCTAGCCGACTGTATTGTGTGACTAAATTGAACTGGTGGCTCCTCAAATTCTTGTCATGGCTCCGTTGTAGTAGATGGCGGCAGAAGTGGTTGGGGGTTCCTTAGAATCTGGTAGGCCATAATAAGGTCCCCACGTAAGCGCTGGTACCGGCCACCGTATAATTTTAGGATCCTCAGTCTAAGTTGATAAAGAAGATAGAACATTCTTTTGCTGTGCTTCGAGGCTCCTCGCTGTGCAGTCCCAGGCGCTGCAGCTTTCTGCTTGTGCTAGGGCGGACATGTCTGGAATGCGTATTCCACATGAGGCCGCACGTAGGTATTAAGCAACTGCGAGCAGACTGAGGACCAAACCGCCCAAATGCCCTCCGCAGCATACCAACGTGCTGGTTCGCAGTCTTTGACGCCTTCTCTGATTGTTCTGAGCAGACCAGATCAGCCTGAACTAGAACCCCATAGTCATGCTCATGTGGTGAATGCATGTAGGAAATGATCGCCAAGCTTGAATGTGATGTTCGACTGGTGGCGAATGTGTACCACCTTAGTCTTCCCCGAATTGAACTCAAAGAAACTGTGGAGTGATCACCCATACTCTCTCTCCAGGTCTTTCTGAAGTGCATCGTGATCCGTTGGGTGGGCGATCTTCCGCTACATCTTAGCACCATCAGTGAATATTAAAAAATCTGAGGCAATCAAACGTGTAAGCTTGTTAATTAACACGAGAAACAGAGGCGGCTCAAGAACTGATCCTTGTGGAACTCCACATTCAACATAACCCGGATCGGAGAGCACATTAAGAACTCTGACCTGCACTTGCTTATCCTACAGGAAATTCCTGATCCACCCTAGGACAGGATCACCAACTCCATGGCTTTGGAGTGTAAAGCAGAATGCAATGTGTTCCAGGCGCTCGAACGCCTAGGAGAATTCGAGGTAAATGACGTCTGTTCCTCTGCCTTCATCGACCGATTCTGTCCAACTACTGTGTGCAGGCAGTAGGTTGGTAGTGCATTAACAGTGCTGGCGGAAAGTGTGTTGCTCGGGTGCTATGATGTTGTGGCGTTTTGGGTGGTCTACTAAAGCCTCAGTGTTGCTGGTTTCATCATCTATGAGAGCACAGGGTAGGAGACCACTGGACGATAATTGGCGGGTTCCATGTGATTACTTCTTTTCAAAATTGTCATGATTAATCCATATTTCCACATGGTAGGCACAATTTGCTTATCCAAGCACGTCGGAATGAAACGTGATTATGGCCTGGTCAATGTTGTTGCTGCTACGTTCAGCGCCCTCGGGTGAATATAATCGAATTTCTGTCTTCGTCTCCACGGATCTGGCCTTAAACTTTAAGTACTTATTGAGGTCTTTTAACGCTGCGAGTGGCTTGCTTCTTTTCAACTTGTGAAATATGCGCATGGAGATAGCAACACACAGCTCAGCGAAGAAAGGTCTTTTCGATATTTCTCATCAGGCTAATACGTATATAAAACTGATTAAAATCGTGATAGGCCAAAATGGCAAGTCTAGGGTTGGTCAAGTCCAAACAGGTTGCCTTGGTATTCGATCCTTTGCAATCGATTATAAGAGTTAAGCTCATACGTATACACACATGTTCACGATACACGTTCACAATACAACACACCAGGGTTCAGCTATCCGATGGGGTGAAAAGGTCACTTTCCGAGCTCGAGGAGAATCCCAATAAAATTATGACCAGGGTAAATGGAGTTTCTGTACAAGCATCCTCCGCTTGCATAATTCTGGTTGCATCAGCCGGATCGAAATAGCCTCGGCCGTCATGAGTAGGCGCGTTTGAACTCTTTTTGGGCATTGTTTTGGCACAACGTATACAACTTTAAAAGCCTCTGTCATCACGACTTGGTGCCCGCCCTGGACTAAATGTTCCAAAACAGCACTGTTGGCCTTTTTGACTGCGTGCCTCCATAACACTGCTGGGCAATGTTCGGCTATCCGATTCGCCAAGCGTCTGCATCAGAGGACGCTAGTTCAAAAGCTCCATTTACCCTAATCATACTTTTACTGTAATTCTCCTCGACCTCGGGAAGTGATCTTTTCACCCCATCGGATAGCTGAACCCTGGTGTGTTGTATGCTGAGCATGTGTGTATACGTATGAGCTTAACTCTTATAATCGATTGCAAAGGATCGAATACCAAAGCAACCTATTTGGACTTGACCAACCCTAGACTTGCCATTTTGGCCTATCACGATTTTAACGAATTTTATATACTTATTAGCCTGATGATAATTATCGAAAAGACATTTCTTCGCTGAGCTGTGTGTTGCTATCTCTATGGGCATATTTCATGAATATAATCGATTCCAGAAGAGCTGTACTGCGTAGTGAGAGCAGTTTCTCCAACAGAGCTGTGGCAGTAAAATCGATGGTATGTATTGTTTACGTTGCGGCTAGGGATGTGGGTATGTAACACTGGTTGATACCTCTTTGGTAGGTTCGTGTCATCCTGCTTTCAAGGGGCGTTGGCTGCCTCTTCGGCACAATATGCCACTCCGACTGACGTGTTAAGTGAGGGGATACCGAGCTTCCCTTTCCGGATGATGTAAGCATGTTTGTATTGGAGCTTTTTGTTGTTTGCAAATTTACAAGCCAAATGTTGTTTATGAGTCAATTTGTCCTCACGGACAACTATGTTACAGTGGTGGTGCTGGGTCATGTAGTCGCTCCAGGTTTCGGGGACTAGGACGAGCTCCGTAAGTGTGCCCAGCTGCATTCCTTACTGATATGCCTTCGCGTGTTCTACTCCTGATGAAAGACGTTTCTGATGCAGTTGCTAGTAGATTGCTGAAACGTCCATCAAACTGAATCCCGGCCCTGTCCGGTGAGCCAACTTACACGAATTCCCTAACTGTCGTCTCAACTAGGTCGTTCAGGCTGTTGAAATGTGGGATAATACCTGTTAGTACTGTGTGTTCCTCATGAAATTCAGCGTAACCCACATAGTTATAAATTATTGTGACATGATCGCTTAACCCCAGTGGGGTGCCTATAAATGGCCTGTCGATCATGAGTTCCTTATCTGTAAGTACGAGGTCACGTACCGATGGTTTGTTTTCAGCTCGGTACCTGGTAGGTGAAATGATCTGCTTGTAGAGCGGGATACTTGCAGTAAGGTCATGCAGTTCGGCCTCGTATAATTCGCTGGGGGATGCCGAGCTACCCAAGTCGTGCAGGTTGAAATCTCTGGAAATAAGAACGTGGCTGTAAGTTGGGAATAAGCATTTCGTCAGTGATGATGTTAGGTTGGAATCGATCTCCGGAGTGGACAATGGGGAGTGATAAACGACTACGACGAAGCAGTTGTCCTTGTGTCTGGGACGCAAAGCGAACCAAAATGAATCGGTGACCCGCGTCTTCGGATCATCCAGTGGTTCGCATTGTAAGTCTTTACGATAGTACAGGATAGCACCACCTCCCCTGCTGGGATCATCGTGTCGGAACAAGGACATTCCCCGAATCGCGATCTCGGTATCCGTAACCCCTGAGTACCACCAAGTCTCGGTCATGGAGATGAGATCCCAAGTGTTATGGCCTGAAGCAACAGAAGCTCAGCAATTTTGTTGAGAAGGCCTTGAGCACATGCAGGAAAGTGTTTCCTTTCTAAGAGACGATCCGAGACACTTGCTACTAGGATGAGAGGTTGTGCTGACCGTTGTATGGTCAGTCGCTAGCCGTTTTTTGTGGTATTATCAGAGAGTCGCTTGGAGTTGGGTTCAGTAGCATCGTGATTAACCCCTATGACAACTCAGTTAGCACAATGCGTGGGGAGTGGCTGCAGGATTGCACAGGTAGATGCTTACTTCCTGCAGACTTGCTTCCGGTGTGAAGTTAAGATAAGAGTACTAGTTCGTTTGTTTGCTGTGGTAGTGCTTTAAGTCGGACGACCGTTTCGTTCGCCGCTTCGAAATGAAGCTCGGTTGACAGTCTGTTCCGAAGTTACTGCCAGCGTTCCAGTAGCACAGTGCCATCTGACTAGTTTGTAGCACAGCTTTAATTATCCTTGGACCCCACCGTTGATAGCGTACTGGTCTTACCACCGTTGTGACAGAAGTAGCTATGTAGTGGAAAAGCCAAACGGAAAGGGCTTAACTACATATAAGAACTCAGTTTATAAATAAGAATGCTGTAGCTGACCTTAGGTAAAGCACGATCTTCGCTAGGCTGTCAGTTAGTCGCACAATCTGGTCGGAAGACGGAACTTAGTCGGCACAATAAATCGACGCGTTAGATCCGATGATCGATGGACGAGGCCAGCAGACAGACGACGACCAACAGCACAACACGCGTAGCGGAAACCAGAAGGCGAATCGAAACCCGAAAAAAGTGTTGTTCGGTCGTTGGTCAGTTAAAACAAAACTGTACAATAATAATGGAAGTGAGAATAGGAAAGTACAATTGGGAAGAAAGATATGTACAAGCGCTACAGAACTCCCCCCCTAGAGCGTGAGTCACTGAGACGAAAGCTCGATACTTGGGTGTCATTTACCGTAGTCTGGAAGGGAGAACAACTGTACGTCCGAAGCGTGTTCGATGATGCGATTTCGAGTTTATGTCGTGAGATGCTTGGGGTGCAGAAGAGGGAACAGAGGTGTCAGACATGGGCTGAGTAGGAGGCGTACTTGGGAAGGTGGGCTGGTCGGTGACAGGAATGTCTGTGGGTTTCGGTAAAGATCGCGACTCAATGTACGCCGGCTTCAGGCGGTCAATAGACACAGTATCCTGATAACCATTTCTATCCAGCACGAAGTACTTCTCTTTCCGGGCAACAACCTTGAAGGGGCCCTCGTAAGGCGGTGTCAGAGGTTTACGGACGGAATCGACGCGCACGAGAACGAAGGGGCAAGTGCGCAAATCCGGGTGTACCTGTTGACTCCGAGGACTGATTCGAGGTGGCGTTGGACGAATTGTACTGAAGTGCTGCCTCAGGCGTGTGACGTATGAAGTCGGATCAACTTCTCCAGTAACCCTTGAGTCTAGCACCATTTCTCCAGGAAGCCTGAGAGTAGTGCCAAAGACCAACTCAGCGGGACAACAACCAATGTCTTCTTTAATGGTGTTACGAATACCAAGCAAGATAATCGGTAGACGTTCTGACCATTGTGAATTCGACTGTGAAGCAGTAAGCGCAGCTTTAAGTTGACGATGGAAACGTTCAACGATGCCATTAGCAGCTGGGTGATAAGCGGTTGTCCGTAGGTGGGAACAACCGAGCAAGCGGTTCATGTCACGAAACAAGGCCGAATTGAATTGGGAGCCTCTATCGGTTGTAATAGTGGCTGGTGTGCCAAAGACGGAAATCCAATTCTCAATGAATGTTCGCGCCACCGTCTCTGTAGAAGCATCACGTAAAGGCACGGCAAGTGGCCAACGCGTATAACGATAAACACATGTCAATAAGTAGACAAAACCGTTGGATGGAGGCAAGGGTCCAACGATGTCAAGATGAACATGTTTGAAACGAGCGTCGGGAAGGGCAAACGTGCCGGGGACGGTAATCGTGTGACGGTGGATCTTGCTGGTTTGGCAAGTGATACAATGTTTGGCCCACTGCTGGATCTCGGAGCGCATGTTGTGCCAAATGAAGCGATCAGTGATTAGCTTGACGGTGGCTCGGATGCTCGGGTGTGAGATTCCATGCAGGTGGTCAAAGACGATTCGGCGGTACTGCTGAGGGACAAAAGGCCGGGGCTTGCCAGTAGAAATATCACAGTAAATTTTGGAGTCTGAGTTAAGAATTGGCAACTGTGAGATTTTGATCGACGGATTTGATCTTAGTTGCACAAACTCAGGATCTCCTTCCTGATGAGCTGCTATGTCTTCTAAGTTAATGTTCTGCCGTGAAACTTCGTGAAGACATATACGTGACATGGCATCGGCGACAACGTTATTGGCAGCATCGACATGGCGAATGTCGGTAGAAAACTGTGAAATGTAATCCAAATGACGAATTTCTCTGGGGGAGAAACGGTCGGATGAACCACGGAAAGCAAAAGCAAGTGGTTTATGGTCTGTAAGAATGGTAAAAGTGCGACCTTCAAGCAGGTGTCGAAAATGTTTGATAGCGAGGTAGATAGCTAAAAGTTCTCGACCGAATGTGCTGTATCGCGTCTGTGCTGGCTGGAGTTTACGAGAGAAGAAGGATAGCGGCTCAGGTTGACCGTTGATTACCTGCTGGAGAACAGCCCCAACGGCGGTCTGAGATGCATCAGTCTTGAGGATCAGAGTGGCATCAACATCAGTCTTCAAATGACTAAGCGCGGTAGCGTTGGACAACGCGTGCTTGATCTTGTCGAATGCATCGATAGCTTCCTCAGTTGGCTCGAATTTCCGTGACTTGCCTTTAAGTAAATCGGTCAATGGCTGGAGTAGCCCAGAGCAATCTGGTATGAAACGGCTGTAGTAATTTACCATGCCGAGAAAACGACGGAGACTTTTGAAAGATTGAGGCATGGGGTAGTCTGCAATCGCTTGTGCTTTCTCGGGGAGTGGACTAATACCATTGCAATCAATTCGGTGGCCCAAAAAATCAACAGAACTTTGGCCAAAAACACATTTGTCAACATTGATCGTAACGCCGTACTGAGCAAAGCGTTCGAAAATCGATCGGAGATGTAACAGGTGCTCATCATGATTGGAACTGGCCACAAGGATATCGTCAATGTAGGCGTAGACGAAGTCGAGCCCTCTAAGGACTTGATCGATAAACCTTTGGAAAGTCTGTGCGGCATTTCGTAGACCAAATGGCATGCGAACGAATTCATAAAGACCAAATGGTGTGGTTATAGCGGTCTTCGGAATATCGTCGGGAGCAACCGGAATTTGGTGGTATGCACGCACCAAGTCAATCTTAGAGAAAACTGTTCTTCCATGTAAACCAGTTGAAAAATCATGGATGTGCGGAACCGGATATCTATCGGGGACGGTGGCATTGTTTAGTGCACGGTAATCTCCGCAAGGTCTCCAGTCGCCACTGGACTTTTTGGGAACCATATGAAGCGGGGAGGACCATGGGCTATTGGAAGGACGAACGATACCGAGACGAAGCATATGTTCGAACTCTGCCTTGGCAGTAGCGAGCTTGTCTGGAGGTAATCGTCGAGGTCGGGCGGTTACTGGAGGTCCATGTGTTATGATGTGGTGCGTAACTTCGTGCTTAGGCTCAGGAAAGTCATTAGGCGATTGACAAAGAGCAGGAAATTGCAGTAATAGTTTGGTAAACACATTGTCGGCGGGCAATGCCAAGCGAAGACCGATCGAACTGATCGAAGTGACTTTACCCGAAACGGACAAGGATGTCAAACTATCGCACAGTTTACGGTTACGCGGGTCCACGATCAGGCCAAACTTGGTAAGGAAATCAACACCAAGGATAGGGCGTTGGACGTCGGCGATGAGGAAAACAAAGGGAAAACTTCGACGAAGACCAAGGTTAAGAGTCAACATTTTCTGGCCGTATGTATGGATCTTGGTATTGTTCGCCGCCTGCAATGTCAGTCCGGTTGGAAGTAGGTTGCGTTTTTCTGCAGAACGAGGAATAACGCTGACCTCGGCACCGGTGTCAACCAAGAAGTTCAAATTGGTTGAGGAATCGTAGACGTAAAGTAGGCGACTGTAAGCTTGGCCAGACGCAGCCGTCGCCATCACTGGCTGGCGTGGAGGTTTCCCTGCTGCGGTTTGTGGAATGCCTTCGGATGCTTACAACCAGGTCGGCAATTCCTTGCATCATCGCCAAAACGGTGGTGGTACCAACAGAAATGACGTTTGGAACTCCTGGCGGGGCTACGTCTATTTCGAGAGGAGCGTCTAGGGCTTCTACCACGGTAGCGATTAATGCTCGAGATGGCGAGCTCCAGCTTCGATAACCTCTCAGAAATGGTTTTAATCGGGTCAGTCCTAAGATCCGCGTTAATGGTCGACTCAACTGCGTGACATGCTGAGGGTTGATGAAAGTGCTCATGAACTTTGTCTGCTGTTTCAGCCAGTTTGTCCAAAGACAAATCATCTGCGAAGACGGCGAGAAGAGCTGAGGTGTTCGATGAAAGACATTTCGTCCAGAGCTGTCGCAGAATCGTGTCATCGACCTTAGAGGAACCGACCAACGTACGCATGTGCCTGAGAAGTTGTGACGGCGTGCGATCGCCTAGTTCAAGACCGGAAAGTAATTGTCGAAGTCTAGCTTCCTCGGAGGCCGTAGTGCGCTTTAATATGGCGGCTTTGAGTTTATCGTAAGGTGCGTCAGCCGGAATCGGATCGAGCAAGTCTATAAGGTCAGTTGCGATGTGGGTAGGAAGCTGGGAAGTGACATGTGCGAACATTAAGGACTGAGAACTAATACGGCGTATGCGAAAAAGAGCTTCCAACTGTAAAAACCACACGTGAGGATTAGAAGAATCGAAGGCAGGGAAGGAAAAACCAACAAAATTTTCTGAAATGTCAGTGCTGTGATCGTGGTCCGACATAGTCAAGTCACAAAAAAAAGGAGTTCTGAGCTTTCAAAAAATGAAAACGGGGTCACCAAATATGTAGTGGAAAAGCCAAACGGAAAGGGCTTAACTACATATAAGAACTCAGTTTACAAATAAGAATGCTGTAGCTGACCTTAGGTAAAGCACGATCTTCGCTAGGCTGTCAGTTAGTCGCACAATCTGGTCGGAAGACGGAACTTAGTCGGCACAATAAATCGACGCGTTAGATCCGATGATCGATGGACGAGGCTAGCAGACAGACGACGACCAACAGCACAACACGCGTAGCGGAAACCAGAAGACGAATCGAAACCCGAAAAAAGTGTTGTTCGGTCGTTGGTCAGTTAAAACAAAACTGTACAATAATAATGGAAGTGAGAATAGGAAAGTACAATTGGGAAGAAAGATATGTACAAGCGCTACAGCTACAACGTCATCCAAGAGCAGGGTAGCACAAATTCAGTGCAACTGCTCCTGGTCGTGTGCCTTTGCTGCACATTCATCTTACTGGTGAAATTGAGGGACTGCGTAGACAAAAACGGTTCTGTTTGTGGTGCTTAGCCGGAACACTTCTAAGCGCTACCCGTTTCGCTTTCGTTCGCCTCAGAGAACGTCTTAAATAGACGCGGACCAGACCGATATCGTGCTGAAAGCGAGCAGTCGAAAGCAACGCTGCTTCCACCTCATTGACAGAGCTTCGCAAAATCCGAAGTAGACTGACTTCGCCATAATGCTTAGAATTCGGGTGGCCGGTGAGCCTCGTCAAGCTGGATGGTTTACTCATAATACCGAGGACGTATAGTAAAAAATTCCATTGGTTTAGGTCACCCACCCGTTTCCCCTTCAAAGAATTTAATATTAAATCAGAAATGCTGGTACATATTAACGACAGGGCATCCAAATGTTTCTGAGTGTTTTTGCTTGAGAGTAAAGACTGTAATTGGATGACCCAGCGCTTTGCTGTGCATCCGTACAGCGTTGCCTTTCACGTTAGTTATGGGTTTGGTAATAGAAACTGCCGCATCTGATTTTGGAGTGCACTTTGATGCAACAACGGCTTAGCTGCCACTGATATTTGCCTGTTTCCTGGGATTCGGCGAAACCTGGTAGGAGGAAGTGGATATGTGGGCAATTGCTGTAAATGGGCTGGGAGTGATGTGCTCGGGAACGCTTGGGCGATTTGCTTGATTGACAGATTTTTCTGGAATAGTTTTACTGGTGTAGCATGCAGGGTTGTTGAGTTCGCCTGCATTGGAGTTCGGTGGAGGTGCCTGCGTCAGACATTCTGCTATGCTTGTTCCTACTGAAGGTGTTTTGGTGCCCAGCATCTGCTCAACTACGTCTGTCAGAGTTTCCTACTTCTGGGACGGCACGATTACGATTTTGGCTATAGAATTGAAGGCTGGTAGCTCAGGTTGTTCAGATGGCTGTTGAACTGTTCGCTGAGCTTGTCAATTTTGTTGCAAACGTTTCGTCACCAATCGAGGTGACATCATCAGTGCGTGGTGGTGTGGCGTGCAATAGCGTAGAGTAGCGTAGAGGAGCCTCGGTGAGAGTGCGCTGAACGTGGTGTGCGTGCGTTTTTATACCGTCGTGGTTGGCCGTGGATCCGAGCAATCCTATTGGTTGGGACTTCGATCCGTGTTCAGCTGGCTTAATGGGCAGATGACCTTGACCTCACCTTCTTTGTCCGCTTGCTCATGCGAGCGAGCCTGCCGCCAGTTCGGGTTGTCTAGTCACACGTTCCACCGGATTCAATCGATCGAGTTGTCGGTCCTTCGTCATTAGCTTGGCGTATACTGCGTCAAGTTCGATGTGTCGATTGATTGCGTGCGTTGTAGAGTACCAGGATTCCAAAAATTCCCTCTCTTGTTTTGTACTTCCATGTGCTAGGATCTTTACATTCTCCAGATCGAAATGGTGACCTTCTTGATCTTCATGCGCAGAAACCAATGAGTGTGGATCGTGCCTTCTGACGGCCGCCTTGTGTTCGGTGATTCGTGTACAAAGATTTCTTCCAGTTTCTCCGACGTAGATTTTATCGCAGTCACTGCATTTTAGCTGGTAGATGACATTGCATTGGTCGGCTTCATTGGCTTTTCCTTTGAGTCTTGAGATCAATTTCTTTAGAGTGGCACTTGGCTTGTGAGCCACAGAGATTCCATGTGATTGCAGCAATCTTCCTGTTAGTTCGGAGACGTTCTTGATGTAGGGCAGCACTATCCGTTTGTTTGGTTGATCAGATGATTGCTGCTGTTGCTGAGGCATTCGTTTCTTTAAGCTTCTTCTGATGAAACTTCCCGGATAACCGTTGTTTCTAAACACTCGATATAGTGGGAGGGTATTTCACTTCGGAAAGAACCAAAATTAGCCAGACGTGTTGCTGATCAGCGTGCACTCGCTTGGTGTGATTTCCCGCTTTTCGGATAGAAATATTGAAGCGATTTCCAAAAGATCCGATTTCGACCATCTTATATTGCACATTCCACAGGCGCATTTAGGCCCCGCGGCTCGCTTATTAACACTTTTCAGGGTAAGTGAACGTATGATGGTCAGTCCTACCCATGACCCTGGATTGATTGACCTGGTGTCGAAATCAGCAGCGGCGACAGGTGACTGTCCAAATGTCTCACTATCTCTTGCGGTCGTGCGCTAATAGCCGGATTCACCGGTGCGCACACAGGCACACGAAGGCCCAGCGTGTATTGATGGGGTCGCGTTATACGATACACGCGGGACGTTGGTAAACTAAGCTAAGTGTCTCGGAGGCGATGTTTGGTAGGTGAACAATGCCAAATGTCTCGTAACTTTGTTATACTGACGCCTGTAAGGATGGTTACGGAGTCGTTTTCGACACCTCAGCTTCTACTATCGAATGATACCAACATTATTCTTGAAATGCTCTAGCTTGAAATGAGTTCACAAGCAGAACTCGACGAAGAGTGTGCCAACACTGAGAACAGACGTAACCGTATGATCGACAGAAGTTAGATCTAAGAGAGAGAAAGCACTGAGTAGCACTGCTTGGACTGATTCGGAAGAGCACACGCACAAGAACGTGGGTGGAGAACTGGAATAATCACAGTGAAGGAAGCAAGAGCGGAAATAAAGTGCGGTCGTACGGCAGTCAGACAAGTATTCCAAATAGTACGAGTCACACTCAGTTCTTCCATTAGGTCAACATAGTCTGGGAAACCCCGGTGACTAAGGAAGCAATGCATAACCTTCGCCGTACTGGACGAACGAAGGTGTTCCTATGCTTTTGAGCGCCGGTCACCATGAGGATATAGGAACCTAGTGAGAAAAATTCCTAACGCGCTTGATAACCTGCATTCATGAGTCTGGTAGTTGTGCCTGTCGTCAGGCCCAGCTTAGGTAAGTGCGGAATGTCAGTACTAATGCATTTTAATCATATAAGCCCATATTTGTGCATGAAAAACCACGATTCGTATGGGAGAATCTTAATCCTCATGGACCTAAATAATGCGCATGTTTATGACTTCGGTTTAGAGGTATAAATAGCTGCCAAAGTTTTCTTGTTACGAGCATTTGCGCATGGAATAGGGAGAACGTAATAAAAGACGATTTCTGACAATCGCGAGTCATACCTGCGTTCCAGCTGGATTACCAACTGGCATTCTTCTTTGTCTAAGCAAACGTGGTCCATCAGGTCGACAGACATAAAGGGGCTCATCATATTCGATCATCGCTGCCTTCGCAGCTTAACTGATGTCTGGCGGGTGCACTGCGTCAGCCATGAGCGTGTTCGGCGCCACTTAGTTGGTGCAGGAAGAGCGAGCGAACCTCTCAGCACCATTATATCACGCACCAGGCTCCGATGGTTGGGCCACGTGTTACGCATGCCAGCACACCGACTTCTACGACGCGCATTGTTTGCGCGTTGTGTGTACGGTTGGAAGAGGAGGAGGGGATACCAAGCGATAACTTGGTGCATAGAGATGCAAAACCTCACTTCGAATTTGGCGTCGGTTGGTGCATCCCGACTACCTGGCTGGGGTCCTAAGGACGGTGAACACGTTTGGTTGGACACACTCGCTGATATGGCTTGGAGCCGGTCCCAATAACATTTGTGTTGTGAGTTCCTTTGTCCATCCCCCTGCTGCTTAGCATCCCTCTGCAATCACGATCTCACTCGTTAGGCATAATATACCTCCTTTTTACGGCACGATAGCCAGCTGTTAACTCTCCGGAACGATATCCATCCGTTACCCGGGACTCAGCCGTAGTGCCACCGTTGGTGTTTCTTTTCTTACCTTTAGTATTGCGGCACAATAGCTGAGGTATTTTCCACCTGCAGCTAACGTGTATAATGATGATGACGATGCCTCAAGTTGACGTAAATTGATGCAGTCTCTTCATTCGTCACGACGAACAAAACACTGAGTTTGAGCCATTTTGTAATTCTGCACCATACGCGGTCACTGAGAGCACCTCAGCCATCACACTGCGCTGGGTTATGAATACGTTGCTAGTAGGCATACGAACATAGTAGCATTTGCGGCACAAGGCCAGTACTGAGCAGTTCAAAGTGAACGAAATAGACGTAACCAGGTTAATGGTAAGTGGTAAATCAGTGAACCTCAACTGCGCTGAAGAAGCAGCGTGTATGCAACACCAACCTCAGTATGGGGAAAACGTATATACATACGAATTGGCAGCATCTGTTTCCGGAGTTGCCTGTCACTGTGGACTCCATGAGGACAGCCACAAGACGCCTGCGCCTACGGAGAGACCATGAGTGGGTTGTATTGAATCACCCACAGCTCCGTTCATACATCTCAGGTCCGGTGTAAACTCGAAGGAATAAGACCGGGAGAGATGCGGATGGGGAGCACTTATCAGCAACAGAACCGGCCCACATGCCTTCATCAAGCAGAACAGAAGCATTCCTGCCTACTTGGGAAATCATGCGCACCAGGCTTACACAACGCGGTGGCTTGGTCTTAGCCCGTTCCACACAAGATTGAACCACTCTTAGAAAATAACACAGTCACGAGGACGGTACACTACGTACCCTTCGAAGAACGGCCAACTGGCTCCTGGAGTCAGTATGGACGAGGTGGGGGTTAATAGGCATGTAGACACCTTGTCAATATTCACTTCAGGCGCAGCCACACCGGGGAGCTCAGTCAACTTCTAACCTTGGGAATGCAAGAATACTCATCACGGAAGCAAACGTACCACATCCGCCGCCTTATTGGTCTGTATTAGGGAATCGAATGGGAACGGACGCGTCCCGCTTCTCCTCCTTGTACAATGGTGCCTTCTCCTGCATCTGGGCAAACTTCCTTTTAATTAGCCCACAGATTTCTCACCGATCAACTCTGCATTGATTCTCAACATTTGAAATCAACATTTATCCGTTATATACACATCTTGTTTATGTCCTGGTAATGCGGCATA